TTCTGTTTACCAAAGTTGAATCCACATAATATCACNATGGTTTAAAACAAAGACAAACAGTTTTACCAGTGAAATTGTTTGCACATGTTGAATGATTAGTAACACATTTTGGTGGAAATGAACATTTCTACATAGCTCTGCCACTTCTGGTCCAAATGACACAGTTTCTCTTCCAGAGTGCACTGTTTATATACAGGATCATGCTGAAATAAGGATAAATGTAGGTAAATGCAAATAAATAGTCTAAAATAGTTATAAAATGGCAGAAAAATCAGAGAAAATTAAGGATGGTGCTGATTATTAGTGATGATGTTGAGTAACAGTTTCAGGGTCTAAATGGACTTCCAAATAAGAAATATTGCTCATTGACGATACTGAGGTACTCTGCTTAAAGCCCAAGATGACAATCAAATAAAAAGATATACTGGTTTGTAATAAAATATAGCTAGAAATCCAGAAATGGGTTACTATCACCCTTGCAAAATAGGACTCATTCCTGCCATGCTTGCAATGGCCTTGTACACAAGTTTTAGATATCACATGAGTTCAACTTCAATCTGCATACCGAAGCTTACAGATATACTACAAACTTTGGTTTCAGACTATTTATTTGTATTTACCTACATTTATCCTAATTTCAGAAACCAAGATGGATTACTAATCATTCAATATGTGCAAACAATTTTACTGCATATGCGGTAAATCTGTTGCATTTGTTTTTAACCATGTGATATCATGTGGATTCAACTTCAGTATACAGAAACCAATATTTCCTGAGAGTACACATGTCATTTCAGACTATTTATTTGTATTTACCTACATTTATCCTCATTTTAGAATGATCCTACAATTAAGGAGTGCAGACTGCAAAAAAAACCATGTCATTTAGACCAGATTTGGCAGAGCTACGTAAAACCAACATTTTCTGAGAGTACACATGTCATTTTGGACTATTTATTTGTATTTACCTACATTTATCCTCATTTCACAATGATTCTACAATTAAGGAGTGCATACTGCAAAAAAAACCATGTCATTTGGACCAGATTTGGCAGAGCTACATACAAATCTTCATTTTTGCTAAAAATGATGACTAATTTGGTGTTGTTGCCCATCCAGAAGTTTCTCAACTTGAACAAACAAAATTACCACGCGCGCGGTAGTTTTGATTGCATTTGTTTGAAAGCAAGTCATTCAAAACAGATGCAAAGAACTTTACCACACTTTGGCAGAGCTACAACAAATCTTCATTTTCGCTAAAAATGATGACTAAGCGATGACGTGCGCCAAGGATCGTCTGAACCCCAGCGCAGGTTCAGACGATCCTTGGCACACATCATAATTTGGCATCATTTGACTAACCCTTCTGCTTTTGCATGCAGCTTACTTATATTAGTAATTTTGCAAGAAAATACTGTAACTCTGTCAAATCTAATTTGAATTACATAAAATAAAATCCAGAAAAAAGCTAAAATTCCGCGCAATTCGATTACGTAAAATTGTGCACTATGTATTACATAATTGGCATGTCATTTCCCAGGTTATATCTGCAATTCTGAAAGAAAATACTGCAACTCTGTCATATCTGATCCAAATTACATAAGATAAAATGCAAAAATAATATACAACTGCAAGAAATTTAATTACATACATTGTAGTAGTATGCATTACATAACTGGCCCTGAAAAGGAGAAAAGCTGCAACTTACTGGATACCACTTATACAAAACTATAAATAACTGCTGCCACATGCACTAGTCCATATAGCTATATATAATGTGACAACTATGGACAAAATGATGCAATAGAACTGATGAACAATAGTGTTTGGCAGATAGATGAACTCTCATTAACTGGTTGTGACCATGTTGAGTGACAATCCATGCCATCACTGGACAGATCACATGGTCAATAAAACCTTGTACTATATACCATCAACTACACAAATGATGACAGAAGCATACAAAGCTAGAGTGCCTGAAACCCTGAACGTGGATGACTACAAAAGGCTAGAGACCCTGAATCCCCTGAATCCCTGAATGTGAGAAACCATCAATTTTCGTGGGAAAAAGGCAAAGTTCAGTGTTAGAACACTGAAAAATTCCTTGAGATCAAGGGTAATAAACGAGTCTCTTCGTAAACTCAGAGGACTCGTAATCCCTGTGGCACTCTTTAGCTCAATATAATACTCACTAGAGGGTTTTGGAAATTACCAACCCATAGATTGTTCGTTCCTCTTGGTCATTGTTAAACCTTGTTTGAAATTGTAGACACTCCAGGTAATTAGTTAGCTTTTGTGATAACTTCATGAAAAACTGTGGTTTTACCTATGCTGTTCTAATGGTGTATGCCTACCCTATTTGGTCATGCAGTTCTGTTTCTGAAAACCCTAACTGGTTTGAGGAACCTCTAACGCCACTAGTATACATTTGTGGCGTATATTGTTATATGCATATTCTGTCAGTTACCCCTTTGCAGGGTCGCGTTCTGGAGCTGGGATCAGGGTGGATGTTTGGTATTCCATCAAACGTCATAGCTGCAGCTGTATTGAACAAGTGTCCCTTGATAAATTGCTTTTGCTCCAAATAATAGAAAATAGTGAATGAGTGAATTTGTCTGGCGTAGGACTTAGCGTTTTTTTCCCCATTGTTCATCTCAACCATCAACTTCACTTTCTGCTTTGTTGGTATCGCCATGAACTTTCATTATCATCACTCAGGTTTGTGTTCTGCTTTTTATTCAGTCTTTCCGCCATGTTCCTGATATAATGAACTTAGGCCTGTACACACAATCCAGACAGCCAGCCTTTCCTTTGCATCGACCTTCATTTACAGGTATTAGTTGGACATTCATTCCTCATATCAAGTAGTGGACTCACCTATGATTCTTTTCCCAGAAATTGAATCACAGTCATCCTCTCCAACAATTTCCTCACCTTCTATGTCAGATCCTGGCTCGCCAACTGAATTATGTGTGTTTATCTCCAATTCGTTGTTGACCTTCATATGTTGATTTCTTGTTATTGCCATCCATGCCCTTGTTTGTAGATGGACCTGCTCTTCGTACATTTTTCAGCAATTCGGTTGCAAAGGGCCGAGAGTCGGTTTCCTCAGCTCAAGCAACTCTATCTAATCCACCATCGTTTCTCTGGCAAATGACATCAGAGCAACTGGTACAGTTTGGTCAGACAAACCCTGAGCAGTTCCAGACGATCCAATCTCACATCTGTGAGTTGGCAGACCTTTATCGTTTGAAAACTAGTATGTCGCTACTTTGTCATCTTCATTTGTTATCGTTTTGAGCAACCATAGTTCCACAGAATGCCACCTTCGAGTATCCAACAAACATTCTCCTGCATATACCGCTAGACATCCAGAAGCTTATTCTGGATAACTTGGCCATTCCAGCCTTGCTCAGGCTATCAAAATGCTGCCGTTATCTATCACATGCAGTTAATGCATATATCATGACACAAATTGAGGGCATTCTAACCTCATTTTCAATTGATCCACACAAGCTTCTGGAAGGCATGGAGACCTGTGGTGCATTTGTTGGGGGGTCTGTTGCCCTTCTTGCAGTGCTGGCAAATGTCGACAGTTTTGCCCCAAATGATCTAGATATATACGTACCAGAAGCTCATGCTGAAACCTTGGCCAAGCGCATTTTATCCAGGTTCAAATCTGTTGGCGGTCACTCACCAATCTATGATTTGAATCCTGCTATCACTCACATTGAATGGCACACTTCCAATTTCCATCCCCTCATTCATGTCAACATTATCGCCACCAAATCCGTGTCACCCTTGGAGGCCCTATTCCATTCCGGTGCATCCATTACCATGAACGCTATAACTGGGTGAGGAATTTTCACCACTTATGCTGATCTAACAGCCCGTAAAATCAGCTTGCTACCTTTCAGTTTATCCCTGCCCACCGCCAAACTCTTTTGTGCAGTGAGAAACAGATCATCTTTGCCCCAGGATGAGGCACATCACTTCAGTCACCCACCTTGAACAAGCTATTAGCCTTGTAAAATGTAAGAATGTATCCAGGCTAATAGGTTGTGTGGCCATTTATTTTTCTTGCCTTGGGAGAAAATATAATATTGGATTGGGTAGAAAATGTTTGACCTTTAATATTGTGACGAGAAATTTTTGGGTAGATAAATTGTGTTCAAAAATATCCTAGTCAAGTGAAAGTGGTCAGAAATATTTGAAGGGGTTCAGACTGGTAAGAAATATTTGAAGTGTGTCAGACTGGTAAGAAATGTTTGAGCCAAGTCAAACTGGCCAGAAATATTTGAGGTGTGCCAGAGTGGCTAGAAATATTTCAGTGGTGTGACATCACTCGGATATGTTCTAAGCATGTCACACTGCTGAAAAATCTTTTAGCCTTGTCACATGGCTCAAACATATCCGACCAGTGTCACAGGGTATCTGGGGTCCCAGTTTCAAGAAAAAAACTTGGTATTGTTGGTATAGCTTTCTCAATATTTTGCACATTGCTTTTCTTTTCTTTATCCAGATCACAACCCAATGTTTTGTCCATTTCAAACCATGTATGGTTCTATTCTATAACAGCTACTGAGGTTGAATTGAAGGGTGAAGAAAGGAGGGTTGGCAAAGGAAGTTGTCCACTCTTAATGGAACTCATATAAGTTAGCATCACCCAGCAGCTTCCCC